ACTCTTTGCTTCCGTTGAATCGTGTGCCGAATCTAAGCTATATTCGTTAAATGTGGCGTCTGTCGAGTCTTAGAAGTCATAGAGTATTGTGATATTTCATTTATAGACTCTAGCTTTGAAGTAGTTAAATGAGTACATCGAAAATCATCTTTTGTTTAAAAATTTTGAGCAACAATGTCATCTTCAAAAGTTGTCAAATAGATCGTAACTCCTTGAAGCTAATATACTTATGGCAAAAATTTGGCAAAAAATTTGAAATTCATATTGATCGTTCAATTATTTTTTTCATTAATCTTGGAAACCTTATAGAGGAAATAAGTGATAAACATTTTCATCTCTTGATTAATCATCTATTTCTTATCTATCACAATCATGAGTGTTGTTTCATTGTGATAGATCAAAAATCACTTTCAGCTTATTGTAAATGCAACAATAAGTTATCAGTGTTTTGTTAATCAATGATTTAAAACAGAAAATGGTATTGCTAACTATTCCATCATCTTCTTTTGATTGTCATTGAATGTGACTCAAAATAGATCATATTCATGATTACAAGCATTTTGGATGGATTTAAAGATACATTCAAATTTAACGATATCTCTAGAGAGAAAAATTATGAAATGTTGAAAATGTGACAAGAATGGTTATGAATTGAGATATGAAAATCAAAAGTATTAAAATTCATTTAACCAATATGGTTCAAAAGTTTGATTTTGAGAAATAATTTACCATGGATTAGGATGCCACACATATATGCCATGTGCAATTCATCTGGTGATGTTCATGATAGATATAATACAGATGATTTTTTCAATATCACATTAAAAAATTCTTGTGTTATTTTGTAATATTAAAAAATTCAATTTCCATGATGAATAATCAACTCTAAGTACCAATTTAGGAATTGAAAATTTTGGATCTGTCTAGAATTAAATGTTGGATGATATCACTTTTATAAATTTTTAGTATAAAATGGTTATAAGGATTTACCAATATTCTAAAATTGAATATATTGGATTTTTCAAGATTTAAATATTTAATGAGTTTTTTTAATTTTTGAATACCAAAAATTATAAATTTCATGCAGAATTCTTAAATAAATTGAAAAAATACAAAGCTAATATAGAATTCATCTTCTAATCTTAAAGTGAGAGTTGCAATGATGGAAACTATCGATTGTGTGCGGATGGAACATGAGCGAAAACGTTTGCCTCATGCTCATCACCAGATCTGTTGCACTCTAGAGGCCCGGGAAGCGTGGCCGCCATTAGTTCCGACCCAATGAGCAGAAAGTCCTTTCGTCGTTTCCTTCTCGAATTCCAGAGCTAGCGAGATCCGGCGTGACCCGGCACTTGAAGGAAGTACGACCTGCACGTAAGATCTGGACTCGCCGGTTTTTGAACGGGTACTTCGAAGTTCCCCGTCATTTTGGAGAAAGCCGTCGTGCTGCAGTCGCGGCGGATACCGCAACGAGTTTAGTCGCTACGTCACGAGTTTAGTCGCGACCATCGACGGCTCAAGAAGCGACACCTGGACTGAGTGCTTTTGGCAGCCTCGGCAGCCTCCAGTCATGACGAAATCTGTCAGCTGCACATTTTGATCCCAAGAGCAGGATTCGGAGAAGAGAATCAGGCCACGAGAAGTTCTGAAAGGGCCGGACCTGCACCTCCGCATGTGACTGCGGACATGGAACTGCATCCGGATGGCGAGTTTGAGGTTCTCCTTTGGCTCATCGTGAACGGCCGGCCGGCCTTGTGGATCGAGGACTCCTGATTGACTGCGCTTGTCATGCTTCAGCTGCCCACAAGAGAACAAATCTTCGCCCAAACGAGTAGCTCAACTGCTCCAGAGGTCGTGACGAGATCCGTCAGAAACAAGCAGCATAGGCTTCTGAACGGTGCCATCTTTCAGGGTCCTTCATTCTTCTGTGGCTGTGCAATACGTACACCTCGTCGTGAATATGGGACAAGAGTCGGTACGTTAGTGTTAGATTATCCTCTCCCACGAATGAGTATATTTATGGATAATTCTCATTCCCTCGATCTGGACAAACGCCTCGTCTGCAGATCAAGCGAGCGATCGGAATCACGTTGACGAGATAGCGCGAGCTGTATCTGAGAACTCGATGAGTTTTGCAGAATTTACAGTCTCATACAGTAAATAGTTAAGGAGTGTACACGCTGCTCATATTGCAATTGAGTATGTTATATGGGATGGAACCTCGCTACTTTAGTAGCACATTATTCCATATGCAGATAGAGGACATCTGCCATCAAAATCGGGTCTGAAATTTCCGAGCAATTCTGATTACAATAAGGAAAATTGGATCGAGAAATCATCGTTTTTCACCTTCGAGGAAATCGTTGAAAGTTCGTTCATCCGATATTCTGAGCTGACACGCTAGCATTTATGCCTGGAATCCAATTTATCATTCCGATAGTCAAAGACATAGTAAACTGATCCCAAGTTCTCTCTCTCCCCCACTCACTCATGCGTGGAAATAACGGACAACGAATCAGAGAAATAAAGATTCGCAGTCTGAAATCGAGAATCAAATGAATTATCAGAATAGTGAAAGCTGTTGATCACAAGTCCAGCCTTCGAGTGAGCAAGCACTGTTACAGTAGTAACCGGGAAAAAAGATTATCATATATCTGCTGGACTTTGAATAGACTTCCATGTTAACGACGCGGGCGCAATGGATGATTCGTTGTAGAGCAATCCACCGTTTGCTCACAAGTCCAGAAAGAGAGCCTCTGAACACAGCCTCCGAGGCTGTCGATGTGAAACTCGAGCGTACTGTCTCAGAACATCCTCGTATCTGTGTCTGAACCAATATCGAATCAGATGTCAGTTTCGGTGGGACTGCAGAATGCCAAGCTCTCGGTTTTCTTCCTTCTATCTGCTCACGTCAATGTGTGACAACTGGTCAGGTTACAAAAAGTACCATTGAAGAAGATCTCGCTCACTCGTATACCAAAACTTGCTTCAGCTGAAGTCGTTCTTTTTATCGGAACGCAGAACCTGATGCACATCTCTTTCCTCCGGAAGAGCGGACCCTTGATATGGAGTCATGTTGCCCTGTCGACCGCAAACAATCTCTTCGATCTGGAGGTGAGGACCGTCTGAGCTCCGAATTCCGCTAAAATGTCTTCATCGCAAGTGCTAGAGCGATTGTGTGCATGCCAACATCCGATTGTTGAGATGGAAACGCGGGCTGGATCAGGGCTCGACTTCCCTCGTTGTTAAAAAATCCCGACTGTCGAAGGAAGAGAAAGTGAGTTTTACGCTGAGCTTGTCGAGAAGTTCCGGACCTCGTGATCCAAATAGGAATATACCTGGATCGGACTTTGAGCATTGCGAAAGGTCAGAAGTCCGGACCATATAGAAGTAGAATAGGAAGGTGGAAAGTAATAATGCTCATGAAATCACCTCAGATCTTCAGAAAAGCATATTCTTTCCGAGACTCCAGGTTATCAGATGATCACGTCCCATTAAAACGTCTTTTATTATTAATGAAAGGACTCAATTTGGGAGCAGCTTGTTGAGACTCTCCTCATGTTGCACACCTCGAATCATGTCACCGTTCCTGGTATTTGCAAGTCCTACAATCCTGCATATTTTGGAGCATGCAGACGATCCGGACGTACACGATGACAGGTCAACGTTTCATAGAGCAAGCATTCCCTGAAGGCTAAAAGCCAAACTGAGCTCAACGAGCTCGATGTGATGAGTAAAACTCAAAATCGAGCCCGGTTTGACTTGGTTGCAGCGACCAAATACACTCCCACATTATAAATGCCATTGAAATGATTCGTTTCGAGATAATTCTGTGTATCCGATCGCTTACGTACGAAGCCTAGCCAGCCCTTATAGCTGCCTAATCTGCCTAATCACTAGGCTTTTCACTTCCCAACCTTCTTGCTATCTTCCTCCTGTTGGAATCACTGATTTGTGATCAGTCAGATTGTTTTGATCAGTAAGAAGTCCTGTACATATAGTGTAGTAGTCTACAACGTTAGTTTATAAAGGTAGTGTAATCGATAATTGAATATCTGAGTCCACTCCTTTGGACACTGATACAGTTATCAAGTCTTGTGTAATATTAGGACACTAAGAGTAACTTTCTAATTTAACTTATTCTAACACCTCCGTCTTTCCATTTCCAATTATCTTCTTTTCTGACTCCTTGAAGCTGCTAAAAAACTCCAGTCCTTCAAAACGTGGTGTTCTGAAAACACACTTTGTTGGGTGAGTTGTTATCTTTTTCATTTTTAAGGAGCCAGATAAGTTTATTCCACGAACATCCAGACTATAGAAGGTACAAAAGTACTTTGTACATATTATGTACATACATACATATATATATATATATATATAGGTCAGAGGTGGGATCGATTTTCAAATGTCCGTAATATATTCATTCCGTAAGACAGAGGACAACCTTATCCCTCAGCACAGTGTTTTCAGAATATATTTGAATCTGCGAAGCATACTAAGATCATCCTTACCTTGATCAAACCAGCAAATTTGCGTGATTTAGAGACCTCCCTGAAGTAAGCAGTGCATTCTGCTATTTTCCTTGGCAATACATTAAGATTTCTCTAACCACCAAGGTCGATTTTTTCACGTTCAAAGGGTGATGTACCTTACACGTTAAGTGCGTATTTCGAGGTGGTTTATCACTCCACCTTGTTCCAAATTCCTCAGCACCTGTCAAAAGTGGCATGGCGTTCACTTCAAGTGTCTACGTACATTGATAGTTACAACCAGTTTCTTCCAAAACTTTAACCAGGTGAACCAGGACCTTCCACCGGGCCTTTCCTGAACGGGCGATATGTCCACTAGGGCAGTTGCGAATCATGTTTTTACTTCATAGCAAATTATTTCATACCTTCCTCCGCCGCGGCTACGGTTATTTGATACTTGATGATGTTCTTGTCCTAGTTGATATATTGTCCGTATCCGACGAGACAGCAATTCTTTTCATGCAAGTTCTGCTGTGAATGATGGCTAGATTGCTTTCTACGTGACGGCTTGAGTTGAGCAAAATTTCTCCGAGGGCTGCAACACTAGAGGCCTGACAGTCTCTACAAACAACCCTCTGAGTTCAAGGAGAAACAAACCTTCAAGTTGTGGAGTCCGAAGAACTGACGGAGACATACATGGAACATACTTCAGAAAGCACGAGGGCAAAGATGGACAAGGCCTCCTCTACGTAGGCCCCCATGCAAATAACAGACGATGGGACATAAACTTTTCTTCATCAGTAACATGACGAAATGAATAATAATACAAAGATTGTGGAACGGAGGAGAGGAACCTACCGGTACTCTACTTCCTGATACCGTCCTGGACAATTTCAATCTTGTCTTTGTGCCAAGCAACCCTGATTTTCCCAAGTAGTGTTTCAGCTTCTTCAAATGATGACCCTGTCAAGTTGGAAGGGTAGGGCAATTTGGATGTTTTATCCACTTTGAATTCTACCACTTGTATCACACAAAGACTCTGTTCTTCAAGATCTCTACTCTGCCAGACCCCGTCCAATTGCACAATGTATCCTAATGCAACTTCTTTGTCTTCATTATCCCTAAGAGAAACATACTGACCATGACCTAAATTACACTTTCCTCCTCTGTTTGAGGATGAACCGCCTCGTGAATCCAGCGTGTCAGCACCTAGATGCTTGTGACCAGGCTCCAAATTTGAAAGTTCTGGAGTTGTCCCTCTGTCTTGAGAGTCCCTCTTGCTCACTGATCGGGAGGACTTGCTTGTTCGCTGTTTGGTGCCGGAATCTCTTTGACTCCCGTCCACACTTCTGGTACCTTCGGGAGACCCAGGAGGGGTGACAGTCATATCCTGCGACTGCTCCCCCATAATTCCCAGAGCGGACCTCGTGTGGCGAGAATTCTCACCTCGCATATCGCCCTCTGCAGCTCGTTCTTCTCTAGCTATCCGCGCTAGCCTCGCTTTTCTGTTGTTAAGCCTGATCAGAAGAAGATTTATCAGAAGAAGATTCTTCTTCCCTTCGTCGTCTAAATTTGCCATTCGGTTTGGTTTCCTTTGTCATTATGCTTAAGCAACAGTAAAGAAATTATTGCTTTGCTTTTTTATGCTTATGAATACGTTGTAAGGACAGACGGAATATAGAGCCGCTTAAGTAATGAGAGTCTGGCCTAGAAATATTAAACGGAGAAAGTGGTAGACATAGTTGATTTACTTTCTTATATATGATTCTAGCTTTCGCTGTCAGGACAAAAGTAGAAATCTGCACTAAGTCACAGACCTCCACCTCTAAGCATCCTGAGGGGATATCAAGATCAAATGTTTCTTAATATAAAACAAACCTAAGAAATTCAACAGGATTAGTTAGATGGCTTACCAATTTTTAAGCTGGTGTACAGCGATTTCTGGACCCTGGAAAACCACCAAGGCTCCCAATTCAAATGCATGTAGAGAAACAAAACTCTCGGAGGAGAAATTTGTATTTTCTTGAGGTGCTAGGAAAGACATTATTTGGAATCGCTATTTACTCGACTCTCGTTTTCCGGAAATTATGACAGAATCAACAGAAATGACCACATACCATCTGATTGAGAGTATTTGTCCACTGCTGTATTAGCTTGGGATACCGCTGCATTTCAGGCTCTCCTTTCAAAGCCTCTTCAATAGTCTTGATCTGACGCTCATTCATAATGTTCCGTTTCCTTTTCTTTGGTGGTTCATCACTATCCAAACTTTTCTTGGACTCCCTGCGTCTTTTGGGATTTCTCATGAATTGTGAACCCCTTGCATTGTCGTCTTCATTACTTTCCACAGCAAAATCACCGTCATTGAACTCTTTTGTTAGAGTCTCATCGTCATCATCCATATGCCGCTCATCGTATTCATGTTCGTCAAGAGGTTCCATAAGGCTTTCGGCTCTTGCCTCATGTAAACCAGCGATAGCTGAACTCTCCTCTCTTGACATTGCAAGTTGAATGGAGCTGGATTGACGCAATATCTGCAAGCAGTACATAAAGACTGCCTTATACTCTCAAAAAGGATGGACAAAGTTATTCTCTCCAAAATAAAAACGAAGACTTGCAAAATTTAACAAATTGATGCGATACTAGTCCACATTCAACTGATCCCCGAACTGCGTGCAGTCTGAAGGATGTATATTGACGAAACTCTTGGTGAACCATATAAAACTCTGAAGGAAACAAACAGAATGGATGTGCAATTGAATCAAGAAAGCATCTGCAAGGAAAAGTCGTGTTCATGTTTGAGATGGTGTTATTACGTTTTCTGTGCAGGAAGGAATTTTTCGCACTCCTTGCATGCCTTAACTCAAAAGACTGGGTTTGAAGTTAAAGGATTACGCTTTTATTGCACGATGGTAGATTCTGCATTTCTTCAATGGCAATTAGCAACATGTCTAGTGGAGCATCCGCTACCTTGTGGTGTTCATTATTACCACTTGAGAGGGTTTTCACCTCTTGTTGTTTCTTCTCAATCTCCATCCCATTTTGACATGGAACTCCTCTGTCATAGACAGCATTTGGTCGTACAGAAACAGCCACAGCTTCCTTCTCCTGAAGCTCCATTGAACTTTGATAAATCTTCTGCCAACGAGGAAGCTCTTGACGGCGAGTATGTATCATCAGCAATTTTTTCTCGTGTGCATCTCGCAGGTAACTCACGACTGGGGCAGCCTGGGGAAGCAGACACCAGTTAGTGCAGACAAAAACCGCATGCAAACTAGGGCTACACTGCTAAGCATGTCAATGTCACGAAGTACAAATCTCTTATTGCTGTCACCACGCAAACATCAAGGCATGTCAATGAAATACTTTCACTACAATTTTGAACGCTTAGATTTTACATTTTCAATCTTGGTGGCTACATCATATTGATGACGAGAAGTCAAACGAAAACTGTTAACGGCAGACATCAGGGAGCTGTAGACAATTAAAGGATTTTCACGATTCAGTGCGGAGAAAGTTACTATATCTCTGACTAATAAGAAACACCTGATTCGTGGTCAGCAAGTTTACACGGACTACGCATAAACTTGCCGACCTTGCTCACTACGCATCAGGATTGCAAAGGAGACCACACTACTTATACTAGAATATAACATACAAATCTTGAAAGATCTGCATACATCTTTATGCTCATAATAAATTTTGAAAGTGCATACTACAAGTAGATGTATGTACACCAAACTATCTATAAATTAACTCTATTGATGCATATTGCCTTAGTTAAGAGGGCCAAGGTTTCGAGTCTGAGATATACCAGACAGGTTGATTCGTCAGAGGGTGGAGATGGGCAAATTGCATGGTGAAGTGCGTCAGAGAATTGGCTGCGGCCAGATTATGCACGGAATCAGAAGGGGACACTTGAAACATCTGCACTAGCAAGTCAGCACATCCTAACAAAGAAGAAGAGAAGGAAATCCACATTGTCAGATGAATGTGAAGTTTCAGACCACAAGCAGCCGTATTACACAAGCTTTAATGTCGGTGAGCATTTACCATTGCAGTAGGTACAACACATCATGCTGCTCAAACAACTCAAGTGAGCGAAGCAAAGTCTACACAAAGCTACATCCGGACCACGTCAACTCCAAAGTGAAGCTAGTTGGAGTAAGCGTAAATTTTCTAAAACTACATCTGAATCTTCTTGTTAAATATGAAAGAGCAATACCTGACAAGAGACAAGTCTTCATCGTTAACCGTATGTGAGGATGACACCACATGATCAAGCAACACATCTGATAGACAACCAGTTGACTATATAATAAGTTATCATAACAAACATAGATTTAATGCAACAGCTTCGTTGTCAAGTCACATACGCGAAATACGGTGTTCAAGACACTCAAACAGCAGCTCCTTACACAAATTCTCGCAAATACGGACAGCAGTCTGCTCTGGAGTCAAAAAATGAGAGCTGCTGGATTTCATCAGAGGTCCTGAAGCAAGACACTCCACGAAAACGTGCAAAAAGCGATCCTTCTCATCCACTGCATAAACACAAGGGGAACCGGGACAACGTTCATGTTGACAATTTTGAGAGAGTGCGAAAAGCTAAGAGTAATATAAGATTGCAAACAGAAAACCCTCTCTAGATCAGACAGATAGCGTACTAATCGGAAAATGAGCAAATTACTATGCTTCTTACGATTAAATATACAATTTGGAGCGGATTGCTCAATCTCGACATAGAACTTTTATCAGGTGGCATAATCTGAGGATCGAACCAACGATAATAAATGCTCTTCTAGGATCTACATTATAAAACCTTACCTGAGCAAACCTCTGGATTGAAGCAGGTGAGATTAGCGAAAAGCTTGACAAGCAGTGCTGAGCGTTCTCGTGCATATAGATCAGGTGAAGTGCTCTCTATTGAGAGCACACATCCTGTTTCCATCTCTTCTAACGGTTGAAGGGAGTCTCCAGGGGAGCCAGATACGGGGGCTGTAGCACCTTTTACAGATGCTATCATTGCTGCACCTGCTGCCTGAAAGGGGTCATAGACTAAAATTGCATCCATCTCTCCCTTTGCCAAGTTAACGGCTATATCACCCTCACACCAACGAGAGGTGAATACACCCGGTGGTGCTGCCAGAACTGTTCCCAGATCTGGGGCCTGGTAATATTAGCCAAAACATGTCCAATCACCGATCAGAACTACCACTCAGATTCAGACACCAAAAACGACAAAAAAACGCATCGTCAAGATTGAGAAAAGGTGGGCGTGACCTACAATGCCATCCATCACCAAGTTCCGAAAGTTGGAATCGTCCGAGAAAAGATCGGCTAGGCGCATAGCATTTATGTGCAAAGACCCCATAGGATTCTGCTCAGTTTCAGCGTCTTCGATTCGCCTCGGCTCCTCTAATAAGGCACTTCTGACCAAAGCGAGGACCTACCTACCAGAGAAAAACATCAAAGTTCTCTACTTAGAGAATCCTGAGAGCAGCATTGGTCAGAAAAAAGGACTGATGGATCCCAACGGTAACGTAGCTAAATAGCACCGTGATGAAACTTTCTTAAGATAAAACGCCATACCGAAGTATAGGTACAGAGAGGAAGAAACAACCTTGCCCAGCCAACAGAGTACTAACTCACCTCACAAGCAACAAGTTCAGCCAATTGCATGCTTTGAGGCTCTGCTGCAACTTCGTCCAGAAAGCACACCGACTCAGTCTCGCAAAATTTTAGCAGCTGTTTTGAACCAAATGGCTGAGTTAGGAGAAAAGGAAAACATTCATGCACCTTCAATAACTATGTAGAGGTAAGAAACACGTAATTGAACATGCTTAAAACATCTAACATAAACATGAGGGTGTTGTATGTTATCTATACCGGCGCTGCCCAAACTCACCATTGATAATGCTTTGGATTTCAAACGGGAAATGAACGCAACCAGTGACTTCGATTGTTGTAACGAACTGGGCATGTTCAGCTTCAAAACGGCGAGTGTCAGGCGCAGCACTCCACCCCTTGTACAGAGCTCCTGATAATCAAAGAGGATACAAAGATTACTCAAACATCGTGGAACGACGTTCTATTCCTGCACGTTGTTGAAAACAAGCAGCATACAGCAACCAAAGGTTACAATAACAGAAAGGCATGAACTGCAGCCAGTCTATATGTTCTAGTCAATTTTAACATAGAAAGTCCAAACCAATTCAATTTTTAACCACTGCATCTTAACGGAGATTTAGTAATCCCAAACGGAAGAACTTTCAAAGGGCTTCTACAACGCATTTTGTACCTTATGGTGTAGAAGCTGATCTCTGAATGCCTGCGTTTGACATAAACTTTGAAGCACTTGGAGAGATGCTTCGCATTGTTGTGCAGTAGCCTCACCAACGCGTTCTGCAGCAGGCAGAGTTGCTTTCTTACTTGCCAGCTTTATGTGCAAGGTGCGCAATTTACTTTGCAAAAGCCCAATGTCTCGTCTTACAACATCAAATGCTGCGTCCATGAATACATCTACCTGTTGTTCATGACATGCAATTCTCTACATCAGCTCATCCTCCATGACATTGGAACATATGTCTTGCATTTTCAGACGACGTGAAAAGATAACTAGAAGTAAAGATTTCAAGGGCTGGCTTCGCACAAGAAAACAAGGTTCTTCACATCTAAGAACGTACAAATCGAAACTACTGGAGCATGTATTTCCTGCATTGTAACTTCCTTCTTTGAACTGTACGCATGTAAAAAACAGAAACAGAGGGAAAATCTGGGTTCAGCAAAATCGTTGAGGTCGGAATTTAGAAGTCGCAATGGATTGCAAATATCAACACAAAACTTGGTTTCACGACATATTCCAGAAGCAACGATATCGTATATTGAATAATACTAGATTGGTAAGTAGGAAATTAATACCCAAACGAAAGAAAAAGAAAAACGTCGGAATGTACACACGGTTCTTGTGGCAACAAACAGAAAAAGATGCGCAGTGAAAATTTCGTGGTTTTCATCACTTCGACAACCACAACAGATAATACTGACTCATTAAACCATTACTATAGGAAACCTCAATAAGACATCATTGCTTCCATCCAATCAATGTCCAAAACATCGCCAGAAGTTTTTGCAAACTTCCTCAAACTTGAACGGAAAGCTAAGCCACCTTCTTGAGTAGCACAAGAACGAAGGAAAGTTCAAAGAAACTTCGGAAAAAAATAATAATTTTGAAACCAGGCATGAGGTAATTATTGTATTAAGCATTCGGTACAGCAGGCTCCAGCATGAACTCAATGCAATTTCAAGATAATGAGTTACCTTCGGGTGTGCCAAGAGAACAGGCACCACATCGTGCCATTCTTTCGTCACGAATGCTGTCAAAAGATAGAGGCAGCAGGCCACTAATGCTGCGTGCAGCAAAGCCACAAAGCTGCCAGCTCGGCCTTCCTGTCGACAATACGAGTAAAGATCACTTCGCGCGAAATTCTACTTCAAACGGCTGAAAACTGCGGGGTCCATGTCAAAATTGCCATCACCAAGAGTTACGTCCATGACTTCGAGGACAGAACTGATCGTGGATTATAACGCAAAAGACAGAATAACAGTACCAAGAAGTTCTGCAGTAATATCGTATAAAAAAAATTAAAAAAAATTCAAGCACTGCGAGTACGTTGAAAGTGTACGGTGGTGAAACTGACGCAGAAGGCCGCAGTAGGAAGATCCAGGTCGACAAAGTCGATCTGGTTTAAGGGCTGACAAGTATAAAGGACCTTGGGAAGTAGTCATCTAACAAAAGAAACTCAAAGTCTAAGGTTGAGGTGCATGATGGGAAAATGAAGAAACAAAATAAGCCAACCAAAAAGAAGAATCCGAAGCACCCACAAATATCGTCACCTTTTTATACTGGAAAGCACGGCCTGTATCTAGATGTTAGATTGTTTGCCCATTTCCTGTGACGATGAAGGAAAAAAGACATTGCATGCTCTTGGAAAAAAATTTCCTTTTCCAATTCAAAAGACCTGATATTGATAATGGAAACAAGATATCTGACGAGCCGGTGTGTGCTCAGCGGACATGCCACCACGAAGGCTGAAAGACGGATCATGATGTCGCTGTGCATGCTATTGAAGGTTGAGAGCAGCAACGTGATAACTTGATATTATACATAATCTTTGCTGCAGAAAGGAATGCACTACAACCTTGAATCTTATCTGATCTTAAAAGCCTCACGAGGACGAATGCAAGAAAGCGGAAGGTCAAAGACACACACCTGCTCTACACTGGCCAGGACGATGAGCATGTATATGACTAAATCCAAGACCTGCTCCCTTAGCTTCACCTCGTGTAGTAGTAGCTGGATAGCAGATATAATGTTATGACCATTGTATTATAAATCTTTCAACTGTAAGAATAAATAAATCCGTAGAAAAAGAAACTTTGAAAAATCACGAAATAAAATGGAGTTCTAGACTCACACCTGCTCCAATTTAGGGTACCGCAGAGCCAAGTCGCTCAGAGAATGCAAGAGGCGAACACCTCGAAGTAAATATCGGAACCGTGGTTCGGCACCTGTGGATGCTACACTTGCAAGCAAATGCAGAGGCAAGCTCGTTGCGAGTCGCTGTACATCAACCTGGCATGGAAAACGTTGAAAAGAATTATATTTTCATAAACGCAAGAAGCTAGACAATTCTTACGGTGTAGAAAGACCTTAAAGTATCTCCATACAGCAATTGCAGAAAAAGGAAGAAGAAGAAAAATATATACACGGGAAAGGCACGAATATTTTCAGAGAAATGACTCGACAGATCACCCGCATAAGAGCGCCTCTACTCGTGTTGAATCGAAACGTGAAATTATGGAGGTCCTTTAGAAGCTTGCTCATGTCCCGGGCGCTCAGACCGTGCAATTCCTCCACAGCCATAATTACGTCCAGTTGCATGGATCCCATCATAATATGCTGGTGTTCCAACGCCAAAAACAGAAAGCGTCTTCTGCTCTCATCCTCTTTCGAATCCGAACGGCTCGCTACTACATTTCTGCCACCGCCTCATCGCACTCACGACTGGGCCTCAGACCAAAGCGATCCATTCGAAGGCCTCCGACCCACCTCAACCGACATTTCTCACGGCGAGCGATCAGAGTATTTTCACGCAAAAATTTCCCTCGCTCCGTCCGAGCCCCCAGCAAGACACAGGCCAGCGCCCGACCGCCCGAGCCTCCGAGCCAGCAAAATATTTCGCACCCACCACCACTGCTCGTTCCAGAAATCAGTCGCTTTCGCCTTCTGTCGCTCGTGGGCCTGAGCCTTCCCGTCACTCACCTCGCCCTCTCTCTCTCCAATTGTCTCCTAATTGTCTTGTCTTCTCCTGGACAGACACAACAACACAGCCGGAGTCACGGACGCGGACGACGACACGACGCTGCCTACGACGGCTGGCCTGAACTCGACTCTTCCTCCGTCCGGCCGTCCGTCCGTCCGTCCGGCTAAAATCCTAAACCCCCGTCGCCCTCGTTTCAAGCTTGTGTGGCAATGCACAAATATATCGCCGAAAGGGTTTCCCTTCGACCGCGGGGGTGCCTTTCCGGCCTACTCCTTCGTCCATTCCGTTACGCTCTTCGCCTTTCGCGAGCGACTGTCACTCGTCAGATGTTTTGTTCGGCACGAAAAGAGATGGAAGTGTCTGGCTGCCTTCCCTTCTCTCGGGCGTGATGATCTTGCACGATCTCTCGCTGCGTGTATTCGGCTTCTTCTGTTCGGATTGCGGCCCCGGTTCGAGCATACACACACGCGACACTACTCTGGCGATGATGTCTCTCCCTCCCCCCCTCTCTCTCTCTCTCTCTCACCCACAACTCATTTATGATGTCCTCCGAGAGCTCGAGATGTGTCTCTCGAACCGGTGCAAGCGATAAGCGGATGTTCTTAGAGCATTTTGCGTCTCAGCCCTCGTGCATGCATTGACCTAGGAATACAGCACGAGATCAAAGGCTGGGAAGAACAGTCATCACTCAGATGGGATATTAGAAGTGAGGTTGGGAACCAAGTAGCCCTACAACAAAACCTGTGTTTGAAGTTAATAAATACCCATTAGCAAGTGATGTTTTCAGTCATATGTTGCGATTTAACCTGCTTAAATAAGATATTATTTATGACGTTGAGGTGATACATAGACAAGATAATTGTACTCCATAAAGGACGCTTGTATCACTCGGTAGCGGAGAAGATAGTAACAAGCTACAAGTTCACCAGAAGTATATTGAGATGTCTCTACTTGCTACAGACAAGACAATATGAAACACTATTATTGGTGACTGTATATAACCCACACACCAAAAAAAACACTTCTAAGTGACTATTGCGTATCTGAATGCTTACTATAACTGCTACGTTTGCAAACTCAAAGTTATTATAAACGAGAAACAATGAAAATACGTCCTCGAGCTGACACATGGCAAAACATAAAGCACATGCGTATCTATCTACACATAGTATTAACCGACAAAACGATGTGATGATTTTTCTTTGACTTCACAAAAAATTAAGAAAATTTAAATCTTTTCGGGAAATTTTATATTCTCCGCACGTGATAAAAGCCTCAAATTTAACACGGAATGTAAACTATAATATATGGTTATACTGTATCACTATGAATGTAAAAGTTTTACACTTCGCTCAAGAAACCACGAGCTTGTTCATCCCCAGTACCAAATGAGTAACATGTTCAGCTGTAAATGTTTACTGTCTTCCATTTCTACATGATTCGATTCAGCCATTACAGATAGAGCTCTGTACATATGTAAATAATAAATTTTAGAATGGTTATCAGCCTTTTGGCACACTTTGACAGTGACTTGTACCCAAGAGGATAAGCCGTTTACTGTTGAAAGTTGAATCTCCTCGAAACAATCAACGAGAATAATATTGACTTGTACAAAACTACTATAGCTAAAAGTTTAAATTTCCTGATCACAGTAGTTGGTTGAGGGAAGAAACTCTACCCTACTCGACTTTCTTCAAAGCCGCACTTGAGATATTGGGGTCAGATTCTTTCTATACTCTTTCCACCTTCACAATAAATTTCGGCCATATCTATGAATTAATACTTGAAACTGTAGAGCGTGGAAAAGATTTTGTTAGGGACCAAACAACTATTGCGACCGTAGAATGGTTACCCACCATGTTTCTCTTGTTTTGTGTCGAGAAGATTTTCTTGGCATGATGCGCACATGCAGCATTTGAGATGGCAACAAATTTTGTATTTAATACTTCTCTCGCATCCATCGCTTGATTCTCATTACTTGAAGACTTATCTCAACTCAAGGGTCTTCGTTAACCGCTGAGAGGGGTCTATAATGGACCTTCCTTGATTCCTTAGGGTGATTCCCAGATTTAACGGTTGATGGAAGATTGCAGAGTCCCCTGTAAGGTTTCTTTTGAGCTATGACAGTAATATATTCTATCACTTGTCTCCATTGATCTGAATGTAGTATCTTATTATAAATAACCTTTTTTTACATATTACAATCCTAAAGTCATATAACGCTACCGGTGAGAGACACTTGAGATATGTACGAGATCAATGATGTGAATATGTTTTGGATCGTACAAAATAATAATATACATAAATACAAAATCTACGTTGCATACATAAAGCGATACTGCGACCCAGTAGTATCACAACTGGGTCCTGACCCATAAAACCCGTTTGGTTTCATCAAGTCCAACTTGAGGGTCCAGCCATAGTTTTCGCTCTCTCTCTCTCTTGACGTATATATCATAACCTTGAAATTTTGATTAATTTGTAGATTCATTTTACATTGATAACCTAAAATACGAACCAATTTTACACATCATATGATAAAAAGTCGAAGACTTTTGATATGATTAAGAAATTCCAGGACATTGGTATAAAGGTACCAGAGCTAACATCCTGAAATCTTGGTATGAAATTCAAGATGTAAAATTTTCCCTTAAATGACCAAAAAAATACATGTGCTTCAGAGTATCACAAGTGGTTCTCTCATGGTTTACTTTAGGGAATTGCTAGGCACACACCCCCCTCCTGTGCATACATCCACTCGTCCACAAAGCACATTTCTGCGTCAAAACACCAAAAGCTAAACATTTCTGCGTCGAAACATGCCAGCGCTTCGTCAAACAAGGGGGAAAAGTTGTTTACGGGTCCAAACATGCAAACAAGGCGGTAACGCTGCAATTTTTGTTTGGAAGTTACCTAATTGGGAACACGGACGGATCCAACGGCAGTGGCTTCATCTTTAGTGATATGGTGCCTCTGCGAGTGAGACGGCTACTTCTGTCGATCTGAGCGTGCTATTAAGGTCACGGGCGGTCATCCCTCTTCTGGGGGTGCGTGCCTAGCAATTCACTTTAGTTATAGAAGTGATGTATTCGCTAGTCCTCCTTTGTTAGGATAGAACTTATTATTGGAGAAAATTTAAGCTATGTTTATGTACATGACATTTAATATGTAATACATGTACACATCTGGATTCACAAGACAAGAACGGAAGGGATATGGTGCAAAGGGCTGCACTCTACGGGTGTATAGAGGACACGAGAAATTCAATTCACTCAATCAGGGGTTCAGAATCTGTGCATAACGTATCCTAGCCACCTACTCTACGAGGCTTGAATATCACATTACCAAGAAGACTTCTTCGATGTCCTCGCTTGCGTAGAAAACATCACTCATGAGTCAAAATCCACGTTCCTCTAACCAAAGAATATAAGATAATCATAGTTCACCTAAGCGTCAAGGAGAGGCTGAGAAAAGAACCTCAACCCAGTCCTTGCGGAGGTAATGAACTGGATGTCGAGGTATCGAAATCCGTCATGAGCTTCAATTCAAACGTCTGGTCCTGTATAAACACCTATTATAGCAACAAGTCACCCCGAAATGATGGAACACGCGGCAGCATACGAGGCTTCGAGATACACAGAAAGTGAAATCGAGCCTTACTCTAATCAAATCGGGACTCTAGGACGAGTTCCTTCATTTACCTCGGATCTGGCTATTCTGGGTCCCTGCCCGTTGCGTAAGGGGATGAGCCTTGTTGCCGAAATAACGCAATAATTTAACACTCTTACAAACAACTTATCGGTGTTGATATCAGCTGTTCGTTTCACAAGACGGCAGAAACACATGTCGCTTGCCCAGGGTTGCAAATTCTTTCGCGTCTGATTACCTCAACGAATATCTGCTCTTGTGGCCAATATTCTATTAAATGACGTGATTACATCTCCCCACTGGTTTGCCCGGGGAAGCATCTTCTAGACTGCAATACTTGCAACTAGAGGCTTTGCAACTTTTGCCATACTTGCAACTAGAGGCTTTGCAACTTTTGCCGTAACCAGTAGGCCGACGTCTACGGTTCACGATTTGTGATGCAAGGGAGACCAGAAAGCGTAGGTTGAAAAGGTTAATTTCTCAAAGCAACGAGTATATACACTAGGCTTCTTGTCTTAAGACGTTTACCTCCACTCCAGTGCTACACATGTTCAAACGTATCCATATGCGTTTCCCGATACACACTCGAATGTGCCAGAGGTGCAGATTGGTTGTTATTAATATTGGATCCTACTTTGCGTCTTAATGATTTATTCATACATAGTAATAGTTGTAAATGACAAAAATGTACGAAGTCCTTTCCTACGCATAAAACGATTATTACCCTCAATGCGGCAACTGCAGTGAGATATATATGCGACAGAAAGCTCTCGTGAGAAACAGAGTAGAACCAACTTCTTTGTCACTCAAGTGGGCTGGACAGTTGGGCACAGCACGGAGAGAGATGATGATTCAATTTTTAACAACGTAACGAGGCAAAACAAACATCTCACAAACAGCAGGAACAAAGAATGCAGGGGAATGTTGGACTGGCAAAATAATAATCAAGGCATTTTCTGATCACCAGATGGCCAAGGCAAGATCATTGTCATTGACATCATTCTCTTACCAAATAAGTATCTAGAAATATTACACGTCTACAAAATATATCTACAGAATTACATATGGACCGACGCAGCTTATAATAAGCACTTTCCATTCCGATACTTGTGTAGTTTTAATAGACCTGCGGAAAAACAACCACATTCCAAGGTCTACATTTGAACTATGAAGGTCACTCATTGACCTTAAAAAGATAGGGTAAAATTCATTACAGGACCCTGGTTTCAAAGAGCGTGCCTAAACCTGTTTTTTGAGATGAAAGAGTCATTCGTCTTTCTTTGTCTCGGCATCCACTGTCACAGGGTTTTCTCCTTCTACTTTAGCTTCCTCGTTACTGGCTTCCTTCACCGGGATCTCTCTAACAGTTTGTCCCGAGGATTCTTCAGGTTTTGCAAGCTGACCCACCTTCACATACTTGCCCTGGAACTTGAACTCCCATTCGTTAAGTGCATCAAGTTCGTAGGGGCTCAAACCCTCTAAATTACCGTTCAAATCCTTCTCTTCGAAAGACATTTTTGCTAAGGCTCTGCTGGCGTCCTTTCCTGCAAATTGCGAATAAAAACCTCCGGGGCCATAAAAGTTTCTAATCAAAACAACACAGGGAAAAATTAAGTCAATTGCCAGTCACTAACTGAGTAGACACAGAAATATTCGTCAGAAGACTGCATCGACGGTTGACACATCAAGGCTTCACACTCGACAAACATAACTAAAATCGATTGGATGATCAAAGATGTTGCTGCTGGGACACTGATGCTGTAGTGGCCGAAAGCACCAAATGCACCAAGTTTTCTGACGAAACCATAGTTCAATATGTAATAAAACAATCCACTACTCTAGTGATCTCGTTTATTCAGCGGAAAAAGTATCTCAAAGTTAGGGAACGGTCGGACTCTATGTTTACATCATCCATCGAAGATTTCCTCATGTGGTCAGAGGATAACAGCAAAAAATATTTGCATATATGGAAGAAACCGAACCGTCTCATAACCTTCTCGCTCACGTCGGATACAGATAGGTAGAGAAAATAGACGAAAAATCATCACGACGCAATGAAATCAGAAAATTTGAGAACAACAGCTGCTGATAGCAAGTAAGAAATGGATAGGTTTTGATCATGAACAGATCGGCTACAATGACATCATCGCAATAACTTACAAAAGTTGGAATACTTCGTAAAGTGGAAACAAAACTTCAAAAGGTACACAAAACTTGTACTCAAACACAAGAACACTAACTCACCTGGATTGCGAGACATCATAGATCTGAGCTTTGATAGCCATCAGGAGAGGCTTCTTGGGATCGGAGCCGTCATACACACTCAGCTCTTCCTCGGTCATCGTACCAAGTTGTACAGGAGGTGGCAGAGGCTCCATGGGCACATACTTGAACTCCGGAGGCGCGAACATCACACTCACAACGTAATATACGGCCATCAAGAGCGCCACCAGGGTGCAAAACGTCACCGACGACAATCCTGTGTAGACAGGGATTGCTTCCCATATCTGCGTCAAAACCCCCATGTTTGCTTCCTCAGGTGCCTCGGCAGGCTCGGATTTCTCCTCCCTCCTGGCTGCTGCTGCTGCTGATGCTCGAGAGTCGCAATCACACTTCCCACCGTCGACAGAAGAAACCCTGTCCGCCTTCTTCTAAAGAAACGCTTGTCCCGGGGCCAAATCTTCACAACAGGTCCACGGGCTTCCTTCAGTCTTCTCCACCTCCTCGTACACTGGTTGAACGTGGCAAAGCTCAGCGGAAGAACGTTCGGGCCGGCGGGCCTGCCAGTCCAAGGCCTCTTCACATGTACGAAGACTATTATACATCCGTGGGTCGCAATCCATCGCAGTCCGCCCGCGACGTCCTCAGTCATATTCCCGACTCGGAGACGTCGCGTCCGGAATGAGGACCTTCCAGACATGACTGACGTCCCCGGATGGCCACTTACCGTAGCTTTCTATCAACCGCGCATGCCCTTACGCAGTAGTCAGGATCCGGAACTTAGGGCCGCCTACAGCATTCATGGCGCTGATTACCAACTCCTTCAATTACAGAACTTGGTACAGTACTATACTGGTCGTACACCACGTCTGGAGCTTTTCGGCAGGAGGGTTCAGGTGACGCGCAAATGACAATTGATTTAGTTCCTAGGTTTAGAAATAGGAGTGGCACGCTGGTTACACAGCGTAAGAGCTTGCGACGTCGCGAATAAGCGGACGACGCCAATGAAATCTCCTATGCAAACTTCACGAGAATTGTATATCGCGCTACTCCCATAGCACAGATATGAAGCTCGTTCAAGACGAATTTCGCTCACGGGCTCGTTATCGCGTTTCATTTCAAGGTCGGGATTTCATTCAGGTTACCTCGAGGTCTGGGCTAATGCAGAGAAGTTCACATATCGACATCGTCGTGAGCTGGAAATATTCGTCTTGATGTCGTTTCGTCGTGAGGAACCTGCGCCACCAATAACTGAAGGCGACCAATTGCGCAGCCAATAAAACAACCTTATATCGAAGACTATATACCGTAAAGTATTATTTTCTATTCTTCTATTCGCCGTGTATCTCCTCAGGCCACGTATCTGCCACACGAATAATCGGACTTCATTCGAGACTCTATCTATTTATGATCTTTAATATTTCACATTTATTATTAAAGTGGCTATGTGAATCCTGCCAAAGTCTCGTGCTCATAAGCTATGAAGTAAATATTTAAAAATCTAATGTTAAAAAAATGCATTTGGACATGTTCATTCATATTATATCTCTTCAAATGTAGTAATTGTACAATTGGTACAAAATACACATATTTATTTTGTAATAATCATTGCTTGCTTCAAATGTTATTTCATCCAAAAATATTCATTGTTTGCACATCATACTTTATGCATAAAAGGAAAAAACCGAATAAAATTACAATTTTGAGCTATATAAACTTCCGATAAAATAAGTGAAAAAATCATAATTTTTATTAACAGAAAAAATATGAATTTCAATTAAATATAAAATAAAAAGTGCATGTCATTAAAGTCTTGCATAAAAAAGAAGTATTACATACATTAAACAAGTAAAAATATATAAAATAATCATATATTATAAAATTGGAAAATTGCAACAAAATTGACACAAGAGTTTGTTCTTCAAAATTTTAAGTTTTTGGGAATATTATTAAGTAGATTTGTTAACAAATTATCATGATTCAGACAAACTATCTGACTCAGATTAGAGAATATGACTGATCATTAAATGGAGATTTATGGTTAATCCATCATATAATGTCTTTCATTCTGATTATCATATCAAAATCCATACATCTTGAAAGATGAACTTTTGGAAACAGAACGATGGAAGTTTGGATGTCATTGATGATATTCTAAAAAACCTACGTAGAATAGGCGTAGCAGACAAGTAATATAGAAAGTAAATGAAGTAGTAATTTGTACAAGAAAATTCTTCATTGGGATAGATATCTTTGGAATTGTATGTACAGGAAAAATTCACACATTGTTTGGGTGCTGCGATGCTTTGAAATCAATAATAAGAATTTCGTTTACTCATTATGTGTTCAACGTAAACTCATTGTGATTGGTAACGGGACAGGCCACGACACATGGTAGCATGTGATGAGGAGACACGAGATGTTAGTTGTACTGATTCAATGCCTTATAATACCTCACACTGAGATTTTTAATCGTCTTCGAATTGAAACTACGAGCAGATTGGATAGTACATCTAAACAAGTCCAGACATCTCATTCATGTGGACAACATATATCTTCGGGTATTCACTAGTCTGACAATGCAGTTCTTATAGGAGCAAGTTGATATACTGATAGAATGTCATAGGCGCAGACGTTGGTGACCTCATTTATCTGAACCTGAGTTTTGTTGGTACCAAGTTTCAACTCAGATCCGTTTTTGCAGATCCATTTGTTAGAACGGACCTTGAACTATATTTCTAGTTGTGCACTTTTGAACCCGATCTACTCTGCATCCCAGTTTTCTACAATCCGCAGACTGACCCGCATGGCTAAATCTACTACGGTTTTCTTTGAAACGGTTTTATGCTATTGGACGCTAATATGCCTTTACGAGGGCACTCATTTCCGAACTTGAGAATTAAAGCCAATTCAACACATCCGGGAGAAGATGGTCGATATTTGTATTTGGCAGGGTGTCCAGATTTCACCCATCCAGTTTTCGGTTCATGAGTCTCTCAAAAAAAGAAGAAAAAAAGGAAGTGCAATAAAAGTGGAGATGTGTTCGAAATAGTCCCTTGCTTTGGTTTGATGTGGATCGTACCCGTCTACCTCTCACAACCTATGTAACATTGCGCTGCTTTGGCATGTCAACTGTAGAGTACAAGAAATGTCATTTAAAACCTCCGTCTGAGTCACGGTGGAACTGATTTGCACTTTCTTGCACGTGATTTCGAGGGCGTACGAGAAGGGGATATTGTATATGGTGGGGCCAGGATTGCCTGGTTGAATGGTAGATAAAGAAGGACAAGTCTCAAATGTAATGGTCGTCATCTGAGGGACCCTGACAAATGTCAAAGTCGTGAGAAATAAAGAGATTGGTGAGAAATAGATGTAGCCGAGATACGTGGAATTGATCAATTTCTTGTTCTAACCTCGGAACTTCGTGCGATCAAAATTGTCTTACAAATTTGTATTTTTAGTAGAAAAATCCTGAAATAAAGACATCATCAATATATGTTATGAGAAGTTAACTATTGATGGTACCTCTTAGAGATACCATCAATACAGTGATAGTTAAAGGTATCTCTAGATCTGGATAGTTAATATGTTAGCTAACGTAAAACAAATCACAATTTCCGATAATATTGGACTTACCCATGTGCTTCCTTGTAAGGGTCGATCGGGTCTTCCGGGAAATTTTTGTTGTCTATTGGGCCAGGGGGTTGACTTCCAAGGAAACGAGTTTCAAAATCTTGAAGCAACCGAAATGGGAATTTGGTTATCCGCAATCTCAGGGAGTGTGGTAAAACATCGGGAATGGCGGAGGGAAATGGAGCCCTGGGTCCAAGAGCTCGTCATTGTAGACGCTGCCGCTCGTGTATGCGGTGAGCAGTTTTTTTCTGCGGGCGAGTGCTGATTTTTAGTGGACATTGTGTGTTTGGTGAGTGTGTGTCGTCGTGCCGGTTCCGTTTGAAGAGTTCGTTGTCTGTAGTCGATGACTGCAGCGAGTTGTGAATCTTGTGAAAAGATGGATAGTCGGGAGTGAAAAGTCTGTCCCGGTTTCCCTGTTCACTGCCCTTCGTCCAGTTCACCCTGTGATTTGCGTTGTTTTAAAAGTTCTCTGAAAGAAGGAGATTGTTTACGTTCTCTTTACGCCGTGTTGGATGCAGTGGAAGCGTTGAAGACGGTGTTAGAGGATTGAGACTGGGTGATTTGGAGAAGAGATCCAGTTGTAAGATTAGAGTTCAGTAGCAGTTGTCAGATTGCTGTGTGTTTGGGGAAGATCCAGAAGTTTTCGGAGAGGTACGAGTTGGAGTAAAGAGGACGAAGAATGAATCGGTTGGCGACGTTCCTCTTGGTTTTCGTCATAGCCTTGTCACTCATCGCCAGTTCCTCTTGCGGACGACAAGGTAATTGGCGTCCAAAGCTGTATCACGCTATGGACACGTATTTCTTGAAGGGAAATTTCAAAGGGAAAGATTGGGCTCCAGATTATGATAACTGTCGTCATTTCATCTCGTAGTTTGAATGTCCTAAGTCTCTTCAGTATGCCGTTCACCTCGTCTATCATATTTTGCTGGTAGTGTGAGTGTTGTCCCAGTCCACTTTGCTTAGATTTTTGTGCAACAGTTGGTTCATTACAGCAATCAGTGAGCATTTCGATTCACAGTCTTACAATTGCAGAAACAAATGCAGTTTCTTATTCAATTTCTGTTCATAGGTGTGTTGCTTATCGCCTGATGTAAGCAAGCACTTGACCTAATTTGAAATTTGTAAATGGGATGTTCTACGCTTGCGTTTGATCGTATCACTGGGCAGCATCGACGGGTTACCATACTAATGTCACGGTTCCTTCATTTGCAGGTTATGTGGACTCACAGCAAAAAACTACCACCACGTATATCCCTAGGGGGAGGAGTCATCACAAGGTATTGGCCTTTGTTTTGGTCTTGCTGAAGGTGTTGTGACCTAGATTGTGATCGTGTAGCCCTGAAGTTCCGCCAGGATATTTGACAATGCTTCTGTAGCTAGATCACTTCGTTCCTGGGTACTGCTATTGTGATAAATATGGTTTTCTTATCACTGTTCTTCTCAAAGATCTTTTCGTCGAATGTCATGTTTCCTAAGGTCGCTTCCTATGACTCTACTTTTATTTTTATGTGTGCACTCTGCCATTCATCACTTGGGATTTATGGGCTTGTTATACATATATTCATCAATATTTACATCAGAAAATTGTGCCAAGTTACTTCGTTCATTAATTTTCAGCCCTAACTTATATATCAGGGTGATTGGAGGTAGGTTCTGGATGATACCTTATCCTTTGTTCCCTAAATATACAGATCGTCGTGGTGCGCTCATACCTCATTGCTATCGCTTACGCCTGTGTTCGTTTGTTTCTAATGTCGATTAACATTTAGTTACTCTCCTGCGGCCGTAGTCGCAACAGTCCTTTTCAGTTACTATAATGATACAATGCATTTCCATAAGATTGCGAGGCATATTTGGACTACACTGTGGTTCAAACATATCTGCCCTGCTTTAGACGTCACACTTTAATGCCGAATTTTTGTTGCCATGTTTGTTCTGAATATGATATGTTGATATCGTACCATTGATTCGTACTGAACATAAAGTAGTTTGTGCCTGTCGAAGCCTGAAAGACCATAGACTCCACGCCTCAGTTGAGCTGTTATATTTTGGAATTTTTTTCAGCCATCACGACAGCAAGATATTTGCGCTAAATGTCATGGTGTGTCTTCCTTAAGAATAAAGCTCAGAATATTATATTCCTTGTCTGCGGTCACAAGACGCATTGAGGGAAAACCCTCTGGTGGCGAAGTTTTGAGACTTCTAGGATGTTTGACCTCCTGATACAGCGTTCGTACTCGAAAGACCCCAAACTTAAGATAAAGCTGGCCTTTGGATGACAGTGTTAGCGCTTATTACTCTGTCTTTAATTGCATCTCTTGCAGTCCAGGATCGTTTGTTGAAGAAGATCTACATTGTTCATTAGTCATCAGAGTAAATCTACATTCTTGGTCATATCTCTTTCTACTTTCCTCATACCAATATGGCTCACTCATGGCTTACCTAATGAGCATTTCCGTACACCAGAACCTGGAGCCAGCCTCTCGGTCTCTGCAATACATTCATTGAGGCTATCAAACTGTACTTCACAATTTTTGTAGGCAAGCCACCGGTACATGTTGCCTTGCTAACAGGTGGCTGGAAAATGGGTTGTTTCAATGTGTAGAGGGTATCAAAATATGACTACGGTCAAGGGGTTTCATTCCATGCGACGGTAGTGGAGAGTACATTAGCGGATTATGATTACTCAACTCCTCGATCCAACAACCTCCACGACTCTGGAAAGTTCCAGCGCGGAGGTTTGAGACGAAGACGATAATGGAGACGAGGGAGGTAACTATATCAAATGTGTACATTGCAACTGTTGAAGACAATCACGGAGACGTAACTCTGCAGCTCAAAAGAAGTGGCTCCACTGGGTTTACTTCATGACTCTTCGTGAAAGCACAATTTATCAGTTACGGGGTTTTTTTTTTCTTGTATACAAGCCAGTTGCACTCTTGAGTAGACTATCGCATCTGTAAGATATTTTACCATGAAACAATGTTGTCTGAAGTATTGTTGGACCGTTATAGTTACGTCAACACTTAAGAAAAGAATAAACGCATCGTAGTGTATCGTGTGTAGTGACTTTAAGTCGAGGGAAAGCCGCAAGGGATGGACGTTTGCTTGAGTATTATAAGTCTTTGTCAAGGCTTCCAAGTAATGAGCGAGCGATGAACCGAGTCTATCATTGTCAATGCAAGGTGTGATTATTGTTTTTTGTAAGTTAAAATTTTTTTGATAGTGAGTGTAGCTAAATTATAGACTCAGTTCTTACCATATTAGTTTTTTTCGCAAAAGCTCACATCTCGAATAGTGGTTCTTTCTCTTCTTGCTTGGTCGTTATGTTTCTTCGGAAACCTGAGATGGGTTAATGTGTTCGAACATTTTGATCTTGAGCTTGTGTCTAGGGGTCAGTCAGTGAGCTATAAGATAATCGTTGATTTAGGTGATAAAACTTATTCCACTTTGATGGATTCTTAATCTAATATTTAGTCCTGGGACTTGTTCTGATTGGTCCTGGTATTCGTTGTTTGTGCATAATATTTACATCCACTATCACTTTAATATATTCACTTCTTTGTATATCTCAATTTCACTTTATTAGCGCTGTGCTGTCATGATGGGGGCAATGGATTTTCACTCAATGTTATCCTGGTCAGGGCCATATGCATTTGTGAACGAGAAAACAGTACATACATTATGTTGCGCGTAGTGGTTATCTTAATGTATCCGTTATTGCAACTTAGCTTATCACGCAATCTAAAGACCTGAGTCGCTGTTCTATGTTATCGACAGCTGGCCCGTGTAAATGGTCTGAACTCCCGGCGCGTGAAAACGTTCAGTTCAGGTACAGTTCTCGATAAAATGTCGCTACTCACCATAGAGGAAAACTCGTAGTTGCGGCTTGTAAACCGACTGTAGGCCGCTACAATTTTGACCGAGAAGGAGTATATGTGCATGTCTGTACCAAGACTCAATCCTTTTTTTCTCAAATGTCATACATATATCACTTGAAGTTTGGGTGTGATCTAAATGTTGTCATATCATAAACATTGAGTCAAATATAACATATGAAATCAATGAATTCTAGCTGATAAAACCCATACCAGAAATATCCTACACGTAAGGTGTACACTACCAATGCTTTCACACGAATTTTAAGTTAGAAAAAAGTTCAATTTAAACTTGAAATTGTCTTTAGTTCAATCTTTTATGAATTTACATGAATGTTAATTACACATAAATACAGATATTACAATTTGTCCTTTATGTTCCTTTCTTTTTCTATCAGCACATTGAAATACTTTCTATTAGATCTTTTCTCTTTCTATCAGAGTAGGGAAATATAGGTTTTGTAACTGCCGGACATATTCTTGAAGAATTCTATCTTCACGTGAGGAATGTAAAATAAACCAATTGGAAAACAGAAATTAATATAATAATAATTACCGAGATGTGTGTACAGTGTTGGTGAATACTTTCTAAACATGAATCAGAATAGAAGCAACTCATATTTTCAAATGAGCTCGAATCTCAAAATTTATTTAATTCATAACATGATAAATTGGAATATATTTTAAATACAATGAATTAAATATATTTTAAAAATGTAGTTTTAAACCAAAATTTTATCGTATCATTGAAGTGTATTGTTAACAGTCCAGACTTTTGAAATTCCGGCTAAAATGATTATACACGCAAATAATGAAAAATTTCACTAACGATTCAGAGTATTATTAAATTAATCAAGAAAAATCAACGAATTTAGAGTGATCAAAGAATAAGCAGATTATTGTAGATGTATAGATTGTATAAATCTAAGATCTGAAACTCTAAAAATTCATCTTCATTTGTATATTACATGTAAAGTAGATACTTGAAAATTTTATTTGTATTTTGATTTTGAAAAGATTCATACAAATAAAACCATTAGAAAAATTTGTAACAATGATATGTAGATATCAAAGATATGTATGTAAAATTATGATAGATGCATTTGAAATTAAATTCAAGAATTGATTTAAGTTTTTCTCATATGATGAAAGTATTGATAACATGCATATCATATTTAAGAATATTATGGTCGGAATTTTTTTAAACTAGTTTGAATTAGTTTATTTTAATCTCTTATAATATAACAAGACTTGATGTTTTTAAAAAAACCTATACAGATCACACCAAATTTCATATAATAAAATATTAATTATTAAGAAAAAACTATAAAATTGTATATGATATTAAAAATATAATATTTAATTATAAAAAATGTACTATTAGTACAATACCAAAAACAATACTTTATTTTTTCAAAGTCTGTATATAAATGGGAGAAAACATTAATCATTGCTTGATAGAACATCAAATCTTGAAATATATGATTATTTCTATGTTAAAATAGAAATTATTTGAATCTATAAAAACTTTTGAATTTTTTTTAATTGTGCTGGATAAAAAATTTGAAAATGTCAATAAGCCACATACTTTGAGTATGATATGATAAAATTTTCAATCATTATAAATTTTGATAAAACTAAATATGTAGATTAAACACTAGAAGGATGAAAAAATAATGTTCAACGATTGGATCCAAATAACATCCATATTAGAGTAATTCCATACTTTGGAATGCAATGTAAAGTCATTGCTATTGAATTTTGCAAATAATGAAAAATTAAAATCTGTGACGATAGTTGAACACCGGATTAAACATCTTCAAAAGTGTTGACAATTGTGACATTAATCGTAAGGTTTATGATAATTGTAAGATGAAAAAGCTGGATAAGTTAGCCCACATTTCTTGAAAACTTTTCATGTTTCAAAAATTTTATCATGTATATAATGAATTTGAATGTACATTAAAATTACTCATCCATAATTCTTATCAAAACTTTATCTTTAATTGAACAATACCATCGTTCTGTAATAATGATAGTAAGTTACAATAATACAGAATTTTATTCAAGGAATTGATACAAGGTGTAAGTAAATTTTTTATTGTTGTTATTAGTCTTCAAGTGTTGTTGCTATTTACCAAGAAAATTGGTTGCTCATAGATTGCATTATAAACAACTTTGTAAATAATGTTATTAAGAAAGTTCAAACAAAAACAAACAAAGAATAGAGATAAATGTTGGATGAAACACAAGAATCAGCGACAATAAAATTGCGTGATTCATCCAATCTTGAACTATATACACAAGAACAAGTCTTTTACTCAAAGATACAATTGTTCAAGACGAGTTGTGTTTCATCGCCTCATATATCTTAAATCTTGAGGCTTGGAAGATATGAGTGAGAATTTGCAAACAAGTGATGTATTAGACTCCCAAAATGGGATGTTTAAATTCAAAAGTGTCTTATTTATAGACTGGCAAGCTGAACTTCACATGAAAAATCCTACCTACCTAGATAGACATGCAAGAAGTACTAATTTTGAGTTATGTTTTTGCTAAAGAAGTCAATCTCTCAATTCGTCACATGGATATGCATGTTCCCAGTGTAGGGTGGCGTGCTTCCATGCCACACCACCCAACCTCACATGGATGTGCTTCTATGTCCTTGCAATCGGATCATCCATTCCTCAAAACTCTATGGTTAGGTTGAACGTTCTTCTCTTTATTTTAATATTTTCACGCGGAGCCTTGCCTCGTGTCATGCAATTCCAGCCAACACCTTAAGGTACTCAAACTGATCAGTTGGAAGTACCTTAAACAAAAATTTTGCAATCAACTTCTTTATAAGACAATTAATGAACTTCACTTCTCCTTGCATTGTACTCTCCTTGTGAAGTGGTGAATCACGTTGATATGATCAAAATAGTCTGAAGCAAGAAGATGCTTCAGAAGTTTCAAAGCTGCTTGGTTATCATCATGGATCCCATAGTTGGAATCTTCAAGTCCGCATCATCCTTAATCATAGTGCTTTCTTCATCACCATTGAGGCGCTCTGATACTCTTACTCAATGATTGACAATGATTATGTGGTTTGGAGGCAACTTTTTCATTTCAATGATACATCAAACATCTTACAATGTAGCCAAATGTTAATCTTCTTGAGTATAGGTCGTTGACAAACTCTACCTTGGTGTAGATCTCTAGAGATTGATCGGAGGTTTCAAACATAAAATTCACATCTGTAGTATTCATCAAGATATTTCATTGCTCTCGTGACAATTTTCAATTGATCAACTGTAAGTCCAAACATATACCAAAAGAATACACTTGTGATTTGAAACGGTCTAATATTGAATAAGTGAAAGCGGAGAGAAACACTTCGCCTTTTTTGAAGTAGGTATATTTCTTGGTGTTAAGAGTCTCGTCATCTTGTTTCAATTTCTCACCAACCGCAGTGGCACTCTACGATGCTTGTCATCCTGCATTTGAAATTTTTCCATAATCTCCTTGCAATATTTTTGATGGGTGAGTTCCAACATCTTTGACTCATCAAGATTTTTTGCTCTTGCGCTTGTGGACATCTGTTCTCCACTTTCTTTTTCCTCTGTCCATGTTCAGAGGAGAAACAAGCATGGATCTGCTGTAGAGGATTTGAAGCTTAACTTTTTTAGGGTAATGAACATTGAATTCATAAGATTCTAGAGATTTGCTTTAATCAGTAAAGAGATTTCTTGAGTAACCACACGAGATTGTTGTCTCTTTGCACAAAGCTCTACGGCTGCTACATATAAATCTTTTCTTCAATATCATAGAAAAAGACAATTTTCAAACCATATAGCTTGACATCCAAAACTCAATAAGTAGCTATTGTCTGCACAGCTTGAACACTTGTGTGTTAGTAGATGTCTCCTTGTAATTAATGCACTATTTTTGTTGTAAGCATTCTTTACCATTCTCTCCTTGTATTTGATTACACTCCTTTGGGCATCAGTTTTGTATTTGAACATCCACCTCAAGATGATCACATTTTTCAAATGAGATCATAGAATAATTCTCGTGTAGTGATTTGATTTCATCTTGAGTAGTCAGTTGTCACATAGATACGTCATCTCGAAATATTGTTTCGCTGTTACGGATGAGCTCGTTTAAATAAGACAATAAGGATCTGAGCTCCTTTCATTTTATGTGTATTGTCTACAGTCCTCCTTCTAATGGTATCCTCTTATTTTCTTCAAAATGCAAAAGGGCAGTCAAAGCTCTTCAAGTGGCTCTGCTCGTCTCTTTCCTTGCTATCAATTCTCCTTTTCAAATTCTAAGTCGATCAGGCTTCTTTATTAGACTTTTGGAGTTGCTTTTTTCAGTAGTTGGAGCGAGAACATTTGTTAGCTCAATTTTGTCATCTGAATGGCTGAAGTTGATGATCCATGCAGGCTCTTGGATAGGTTCTAGATACTGAATGGCTTCCACGTCTTTTGGAGTGAGTTGTCTTTCATTGTTGTTCTTGACTGATTCTTCAATATCAAGTTCAAGAAGCGCTTCTTGCCGGGCACACCTTGACCGTTCAAAATAGATCAATCTTCTCACTCATCACTTGAATT